CCCCCAACCTGTACTGGTGCATGGTGTAAGCATGAGGAGTGGGTTTTGTTCCAAGCATGGTGGTGAGAGATCAGAGCTGGAGCAGACAGCCTGATGAATGGTCTCTGGCTCCTCTGCAGAGCCCCATTAATTCTGGGGCTGGTTTCCGTTCCGGCTGCATTGGCTCAAGTGAAACCCATACATACTTAACAGCAGTTAAACTACTCTGGCATGAAATAGCATGGAAGAGGGGAAGCCGTGGCCAGCTGAGCTCACTGATAGTTCTGGTGGGTCTGGTGTGGTTGGGTTCAGCACTAACACAACTCTCACAGAACTATGCCACACGCATGACACTTCCATTGGCATTAGCTGTCTGTCCATCTGTCCAGCGTCTGGCCTGGCAGATGAAAGCCACGGTTACTGTCTTCATCTGAGAGGAAGTCGGAAGCAAAGACAAAGTCACCAGTCAAAGGTCCCAGAAAGAATCAGAAGGAGAAAGACCAGAGGTCCAGAACACCCCCATCTGCTCTCTGTTCACTCGTGCTGAACACAAAAACAGTAACTGGAAATATTTTTTTCAGAATAGTAGTTGCCTTCTGAGGACAGACTATAGTAATGACATTAAAGCTATGCAGAAACTTATGCAACAACCTAATTTCCCACTTTAATGAGTAGCTTTAAAATTAAATTTATAGGTACATATTTAAAAACTACTTTCCAGAGATTGTTTCCTTGTCTCTGTATTTTGCAAAGGTAAGAAGCTTATTGGTTGCAGATCAACTTTACGTCATTAAAAAAATAAAACAACAAAACACAATCCAGCCATTTTTGGTCTTCAATAAAATGCCAGTTGCTTTAAAGCTCATTAATTTCTCCTTGCTCTCTGCTCCTGTTCACTATAGGTGGGACTGCGGAAAAGCCGTGCAAACCAGAAGGAAGAGGGGACCTGTTTTATAGGGAATAAGAGACCGTTGACACAGAACAACCCCCAGACCAAGTGCCTTCATAGTGTCCTGAAGGAAGTGGAACTCATCCGGACCTTCAGGGATGGGCAAATTGAAGAGGCAACTAGGTTCAATCAAGAGTTGGAAAGAGAGCTGAAGAGCTCCCAGGAAGCTCTGCTCAGCCTGGAAGACTGCAACCGTAACCTGAAGAGGGAGCAAGCAGAAATGAGGAAGAAGGTTGAAGAGGCAAGACTTGCTGTCCTTAACAGTCTTGGCAAAGTGAAGGAGCTAGAAGTGAAAGCCAGCGAGGTGCCACATCTCCAAATACGCATTCAGCAGCTAGAATCAGAACTGCAGCACTGCAGGTAAGTTTGAGTCTGTCAAAAAATGCCTATAAAGTTGCAATATCCATACACAAGTTAGCTTGAAAATCACTGGTTGTAGCTTATGAAATGTCTCCAAATACATTTTCAACAATATAGCCAGAGGGAAATGAGAAGCTACTTAGCAATTTGTGTGGTAGGGATCCATAAGAGGACAGGGCATACTCCATGGAAGGTAGGCCAAAATAAGGATGCTCATCTAAGTGGAGCTGAAGTTACTCCTCAAACACGCAGCAATACGACACTACGACATAGTAATGCTTCAGGAAAGCCTCAAAAGAAATTGCTGACAGTCCTTCAGAATCCATTTCCAACACACTCATTGTTTCACCATGACCAGGCAATATCAGTTCAGCATTTCCTGCTGGTCAGGTGGCACATACAGAGCCAGCTCTAGTCAGATGGCTGACACTCCGTTTCCTATGGAAGCTCTTCAGCCTGGCGTACAAATCTGAGAAAACCACACGAGTCCAACTTCTGGCCAGTAGTTTTTTAACTCTGCTGTGACTTTATTGCTTCTTCGCTGACAGAATATGTAATGCTCCAAAAAAGAAAAGTTACAGTCCTTTCCTAAACCCCCACAATAATAACATAGCAGGAGTCTCAAAAAAAAAATATGTCATCCAACTGAAACCCACTTTTGTAATAGTGTGAATTATTATATTTCCAAAAGTCTAGAAGTTGGTCACAAATTTAATGGTTCACTGCTCTTTTTGTTTTTCATCTCAGGCAAAACTTGGACTCATTGATGGTTATTAGGTGCTAGGCATTTCTGGCTGAGTTTCAAACTGGCCTATGGAGTAAAATCTTGTTTGTATTTTTACTGACCCAAAGTAAAGCTAGTATTTATATATTTTGCCTGACTGTACTAAAGGTAGTATTTTAATACATTGTCTATTCTGAACTCCTTGTCTCTTCCTAAACTTATACTTCCTCTGTTGGCTTATAAGAAGAATTCATAGTGAGTTATTTGTAGCATCGTAGCTATTGTTTATGAAGTGAGGAAATTCTAAAAACAATCATTTTCTCCAGTGTCTTTGTTGTGTATGTTAATACCTCTGTGGCTGCAGAAGATAAAAGCATTTGATTAATCATCTATAGGATTTTAAAACCACTGCGAGGGTACATACTGTCCAAGATGACTGTCATTCATCTGGATTCGTGAGACAACTCCTAGTGCTACTCGTCTAGTCACTCAAGTTCCCCCTGCCATGAACACCAGAGACTTTGGATGTGTTCTTTTCCTGCAGAATAGCTTTTCCAAAGTATGAAGAAGGATAAGAAAAAGCCTTTAGAAAGGTAGAGATGAACTAGTTAAAGACAATAGGAGATGTCGGCTGGGCCTAGTGGAGCAGGAACTTCTGTGGGTTACATCAGTACAAATAGCATGAGTTCAGAAATGTAAATGATGTGGTCTTTGTAAGATAATCTTCGCTTGTAATATTTATTTTTAAATTGCATGCTAATTTAAAGGGAGTGTAAAGCTCAGGAATGGTGGTAACATTTGGAAACACCCCTTTTTTAGCCCAACAGCACATTTAGCACGGATCTTTTGAGTCCTTATCCTGTCAGCCTTAAAGTGCTTCCACCTCCCTGCCCACCTGATACAGCTCTCAGCCTACACTTTAACAGCAGAGCTGCCTAACGATGATTGGGACTTGCATTCCACAGTTCTGCATTATCTGGCACACCAGAATGCCACAGTGTGGCAGGGAGGTGCCCAGGCCGGCAGGAAATAGTCAAGTCAAGCAGCACAGAGCTCCATGTTACTGTGATGAAAGAGCTTAACTCTAGGATGGCTCTCCTCCCACTCCACTTGCTTACGCTTGTGCTGCAGATGGCAGGAGCTGCCTCTGCTCATAGAGGATCATCTTCTCTGGTGGTGCAGAGGCCCCAGACCCATGGGCATCGTTTGGGCGATGTGCTAGGAGTGCTTGCTTGAGCTGACCAAAGCATAGAGATGGAGGGAGAGCTGCTGTACCCCACGGATTTCTCAGACTGTCAGTTGGCAAGTGTGTTCATTGTTAATATTTCAGTCAGTATGTATTTAAGTTAGTTACTCCAGTGAGCAGTTTTCTCCACTTCTGGACACCACAAAAAGCCTGTGAGTGTGTAAGCAGGATGTAGGTTTGGTGAGAACTCATGCTGCAAGGTAGCAGTGGAGAGAGGTGGGTGAGGGTTTGAGAGCACTGCAGAAAGCATTGAAGATTGCAGATGTGTCTCCTGAGAAGTCACCTGCACTGGCTTGGCAGGCCACTATCTACTGCAGCAAAAGTCTCACGCCTTCCAAAGACGGTCATATTCAAGAACAAGACCACTCTATGAGCTTTACATGCTGCTCCTATTTATACTTAAATACTTATAAAGAAGATTATTTCTTCTTTTACGTTCAGATTTTCAAAGCTCTTTGAGGATCTAAATCCCACTTTTATACCATCACCAGTTTGTTATCATTTAGATCTGCAATCACAACAGTGACCTTAAATGATAATCCCTAACTCAGGAAACAACATAGTCTGCATCTACTCAGGAAAGCATTTAAATACCTGCAAGTGATTAAAGGTTTTCCTACACTGAGGCACCTGATTGCAATTGTCTTCTCTGCCCACAGATTCATATGCCTCCAGATTTAATGCAAAAAGTTGCTGTCAACACCTTTTGTAACTGTTTGCTAACTGGAGTTTGTGTCACTTAAACATGAACTTTTTCTGAGTATGCAGTTCCTGAATCAGGATTTTAAATGTCCCTGTGATGTTACTAGGTTCCTAAGCCAAACTAGTTGACCAAATGGTTCAGAGATACTTCTTGTTGTAAGGTGCACATCTTGCTTTTCCTGCACTGTTAGAAATTTGTACGGTCTTAATTTTTGTTTCTTAATCCCTGTCAATTTAATGAGGCAGCTCAGATACCTTAAAAGCAAATTTTGTGAAATTCCTTACTGAAAACCACAAGTTAAATTCATTTCAGAGAAAAAAGTTGTCAGAAGAAATTGTTCATTTATCGTCGGTGTTCTGTTAAAATTGCATAATTACTGTATCAGTATACAGGAGAGTTTAGGAAGTTATGCAAGTTCTATTTTTTATGCGGTGCTACCCAGAGAGTGATTTTGTACTGGTGCCCTGGATTTTATTTTGCAAGGTTGTCCTGGTTCCGTGTAAAAAGGGGTGCAGGGCAGGACCCACACGGAACAGAACTATGTACTCGCCTCTCCCCCACCCCCTCGAGAGAGAGAGAGAGACACTTTAAAAAAAAAATGAAGTATATTGTTCAACAAGGAACAGAAAACGAAAAAGGGAGGTAAGGAAAATAATATATATAAAGACCAGGGGAATAATACAAAAGATAAAATATACAAAACCCTCAGAAATGGTTCCAGGGTCCCACGGAGTGAAAGGAGAACTTTCCTCTCCGAGCTCCAAGGCAGGAGTGAAACAAGAAACCACTCCCTGCCTCTTATCAGAGTGTGTGTGGGAAGGGGAGGGAATACAATGGTTTCACCCCCACCCGGGGTCCTCCCAGTTGCTGGAAGGTCACGCCCCCATTCCAAGCCTCAAACCACAACACAGGTGTAGGGCTTTTTATTTGTTGTTACTGAAGCTCAGCTTTCCCATTTTTGGCCTAATGTTCCAGTTTCTGAGGATGATATTGGTACTAACTTCCACATGGAAATTACTTCCACTGGGATTCCCTCCCGGCTTGGTGTCACTTGTGCATCTGTAGTTTCTGTTTTAAAAGCTGGAAGCCTAAATGAGCATACTCACCAGGTCCCAGGACAGATTCTGGGGACCTCCACTCAATGCACTCTCCTCATCCGAGAGCAAATCGTTAACAGCTATTCCCTAAACTCCTGTTTCAGAAAGTCTCGCTCAAGGTGACACCATCTATGTATTCTAATATAGGCCTATGATTTATAAGTATTTTTTGTAAGAATGCCATATATAAAAAATATTACTGCAACAAAAATGTCACATCTACTGCTTCTTTTTATCCATTCAGCCAGAAAAGGAAATTAGATTGCTTTGACATGCATTGTTCTTGCCAAATATAAGTTGGCTGTTTTCTGTACTGCATTGTAGGTGGCTTAGAAATTGTTTACTTTGTAAAGTTTACAGATTATTTTTCTCTTTAACAGCATTGGAGGGAATGACAGAATTTAACAACCATGTTAAATTTGATCCCAGTGTAACAAATAAAATGAAAGGTCATTTAGAATTGAAATAGATTTCATAATGGACATGTTCAGAGATTTTACATTGCCAGCAGCACAGTAATTACATAGGTCAGTGGAAGGGGTCATAAAATACCAAAAATGCTTCCTATATGCATTGTGTGTCTCCCAAATTACTTAATTATCCATCAGCGTTTATATGTGTGAATGAGTAGGGATCCTTTGTACATGGAATGCAGAGAGGTTAGTTTCATCACTTCATACTCTCTTACAAATATGAAGCTGGAGGCCTCTAGCATAATTTCCTCAGTTTATTTCTTTCATAAAGTCATCAATGTTAAGTTTTCTATAAAGTTATGGTTTAGGTTATGCTCATGGGAAGTAGTTAAATTTTTCTTTTAGGAGTCAGGGTCCTGATTTTTCAGTAATTTCTCAGGTTATCTTTACTCTGTAAAATATAACAAGATGGACCAAACAGATCCAAATCAGTAAGCCAACAATGGGAGAGGAATATGGAAATATTCCTAACTGATACCAAATCATCTCTGTTAATTGAAGAAAAAAAAGCCCTAGGAGGGAGACACTAACCCACAAAGGAAAGTGTATGTAGGAGGTTATTTCCAGTCTGAGTGATAATGCAAGTTTTATATTTAGGCATTCTAGAACTGTTCTTCTATTTAAAAAAAAATAGACATTAAATAAAGGAAGTCTGGACAACTTGCTGCTTGACTGCTGTCATCAATACCAACTCCTTGCTCGCTGTAAGGTAAAGTGCCTCTTGGTGTTTTATTTCCGACGGCACAACGTTTGAGTG